TCTGAATGAACTCGATGGGAGTGGGTTTGCTTTGGTTTTTGAAGCTGTGTGGTAGGTAGGCACCTGGACTCTGATTTTATCATTATTTTAAACTGTACCTACGTGAAATGGGTTTCTGTAAAAGGATGAAGAGGTGGTTGCTTTTATGCAATGTGTCACAACTTTAAAACAGGAGGGCAGTAGGACCCTGAAATGTGACCCTTTGAAAACACACACCTTAGAGGCATTTTCAGAGCATGTCTGCCAGCCCGGCTTGCCCTGAACTTGGTCACAGAGGGTGTGTTGGAATGAGGCCGAGCTGGGCGCTGGGCCAGGCTGCCCCACTGGGAGCTCACCTGTTTCTGAAAAGGGAGGTTGGCACACAGGAATAGGTGCTGCCCAGGCTCCAGATTCTAGAGAACGCCCTGACATTTTGTCCAGGGACTTGGGCAAGCAGGGGTGGGGGTGGGGCCTCAGGGGAAAGCCTGGGGAACTCATTCTTGTGCCCATCCGTCTCAGGCAGGTAATGGAGCTGGGTCCAAGCCTGGGGATGTCCTGGATGTCTTGACTCAATACAGAGGCCTGTCTTGGAGGTGAGTGAGGGTGTGGCAAGGTCCCAGAGTTCTCTTGTGTTAGGCTGGGATGTCTAGAGAAACCAAATCAGTTACAGTCAGAAGAAAGAACTTTAGCTACAGAAAGCATCCCAGGCCTTTGTAACTCAAGCCAATAGGTTCAGTGGTAGCGAGGGTCTTCTTCAGACTCACTCTGTCAAAGGCCAGTGGTGCAGAAAAAGAGACGATGGGAAGAAGGGTGTTGAAGGGTGCGAGTTGCGAAGACCCAGGGCCAGTGGGAACTTGGCAAGGGGCCACCGTGCAGAGACTAGCTCCAGGGTCCGTGGCTTCCCTGGCTGCCCCTGCCCAGCAAGGATGAAGGTGAAGGGACAGAACAAGCCATGATTTCTCACCATCTTTCTTATAAGAAAGGCCACGCCCCAAGGAGGCAGCACAAGCTGCGGCCTGATGGATAGGTTGGACCCCACCACTACACGTCACACCGCTTCAAGTTGACTTAAGGTCTGACTGCCACAGTTCCCGACATGACGGAGCAGGAACGAACCACCAAATTATTGTTTTCTATATCAAAGTCCTAGGTTTCATTTGAAGAGGATATATGTCAGCATCCCCCAAAACACTGCCTTCTAAAAACGAGAGCTGAGGCTGAGTAAGAGGAGCCGGGGGGAGAAATTGCATAAGCCCTCAAGGTGCCAAATGGTGTCTCACTTCCCCACCTCCCTCTGTGATGGGGAAGCACTGAGAGAGGCAGTGGTCTGCGTGCTGGATAGAGGCTGGACGGTGGGAGCAGAGTAGAGTCTGAACCCCAG